GGATTTCAATCTACTACCAGTGTATTGAGACTGCAAGTTGTGCATGATTATGGCATCTTTTCCAGAAAGAGAGCTAGTCGTGATTTAAAGGCTTTTAAGGGATGGAAAATCTACACATTTATCCATCCAATTTCATGCACTGACAGATTATCCTAAAAGGAAAAAAAAAAAAAAAAAAGGCATGCTTTGTTTTTAAGTTGAGCTTGATTTGCTTTAGGAATGCTTTTTTATCTTATTTTTCTTCCTGGAGAGAACCCTATAATGTCTCATCCCTCTGCAGATCACTACAGCCAGAGTTGAGCCAATTCTCACATTTCTTTCTTAGCCAAGAAAAACAAAAACAAAAACAAAAACCACACACACACACCCCTCTCCCCCATTGCAAGGCTTTATTTTAGCTTTGGAGTTAGCTTCTAGGCCTTCCCCAATTCACTCTCCAATTTTATAAAAACACCACACAAAGAAATACAAACACTACAATAGAGTATCATGCTTAGATATCACTTCTATCATGACCCAGAAGCCACGTTAGCCCTTCTCGTCATGGGATTGTACCAAGAGGTGCACGTATTTGCCCACTTTGTCTCATAAAATCTTTCCCAGACAACTAAATCTCAGGAGGCCATTGCCCATGGTTATCAGTGAAACCTAAATGCTTTGCTCCGAAATGTGAGACCTTAAACATGCTTATCGTTTTTGAGAACTAGCACAACATTAGTATTTTCTACCTTCTCAAATTTGGCAAGTCTTCTAAAGAGCCTTCTTTACAAAGCTTTCAATAAGCTAATCATGTTTTCAGCAAAACCTCCTTAAGTTTTTTGATGCAAGTTACCTTTACTCTTAGTAGATATTAACAGTGACTTCAACTAAGAAAAGAGATGATAGTTCATTAGCCTGAATACATCATTTCTGTCTAGTTGCTAGAAAGACATTTCCATCAAATATTTCTGCACCATTTTTAATTTTACCATCTCCATCAAGCAATGAGTCTATATAATTGCTAGATTCAACGGATTCCTAGTTAAAGTGACATCTTGTGCTTAGCATTATTAATGTTTAGCTTATTTTTTAAGAGTTTTAAATGTCATTACCCTATTATCACTCCTAGTCTGCATCCCGGTAACACATCAGTGAGTTTTCCACAGCACTGTGACCCATAAGCTGAGAACCTCTGAATTAGAGCCTTAAATATTAGGAGAAAAAAAAAAAGCAAGGAAGTAAGAGCCCGATGTAACACTTACTCAGGGTTTGGGAGTGTTTGTAACTGTGGATCCACCTAGTGAGGTGGGCCCTTCCACACAGCCTTTTTTTGAGGTTAGATGACAGTTCTGTTTGTAAGCACTGAAAAACAACTGTAACGTTGCCAGACCTATCATCTTCAATTTTCTCAATACAGTAAAAATTGAGATACAGATTTTAGTCAAAATAGTTCTACTTGTTGAAAGATACTCCAGTCTCTTGCACATTTTTAGATCTATTCTTAATAAACCTCACATCTCTGTGCTTTGGATCAAGGACTTCAAAGAGTCAGCCTCTCAAAGACGTTTGCATGAATCATGCATTTCACCCATGAGAACTAGAACAGGAACAGCATCATCTGATAAAACTAAAATAAAACTGAAAGATCAGGTTCAATAAGGATTGAAAATAGAACATTATCTGATGTACTTGTCTGTCAAACACAAAGTCACTATTAACTTCCTTGTTTCCCATATAAAACTTCACAGTCATTATAAAATGACAAGAGAACGGACAAGTCTTTAAACACGTCTGTGACTGCAGAAATGTATTTATTTTGCTTAATAACTAGAATTAATTGTGGTCAGTGACAACTAGAATTGAAGTCATAGATCTAAAATATAAATTATACTTTTAAGAATAGAATTAGACTTAATTGTTGCATTGTTGCACAGAGCAGAATCAAGATGAAACTAAGGCATGAATGCTGAAATATAACTGCTGTCAAACTCTGGTCAAATTTGGACAAGTTATAAGACTTCTAACAAAAACAGAGTTGACAGAGTCAGTAATAAACTGATTAAATCTTCGCAGCTACAGCTTTCCAAGGTTCTATCTGTTCTGTACGTGTGCCAGCCTGGGACTTTGCCAGATCTGAGGACTGGGACTCTGTCTTCTGTATTGTCACTGACAGACACCCCTGCTGGGCCCTGTCAACAAAGAAGTAGTGGTGCCTGTTTGAATGCAGAGGTGACAAACTTGGAACTGTGTAGGATAAGATTAATAGAGAGAGCCTGATAAACTGAAACTGAGATTGCTGGTCAAGAAGAATGGAAAACATGGATGAAAAAACAGGCAGATGGGAATACAGCCAAAACATTACCCAATAATAGCACCAGGAGAAACTAAAAGCGACAACTTTTGGAATATTTGTCAAAAAAGTGAAAACAGAGTGAATATAACAAGGCAGGCAAGAAAGAGTTGGATAAGCAATTTGCAAAATGTACGAAAACATTTTGGAACGAGGAAACCTGCCAGAGAATCTGTAAAGACAATAGATGATCAAGTTTTAGGAGGAGCACTCAAAGGACAATTTCTCTGCTTTGGTCTCTGCGTAAATATTTTCATTGGTGTTTACCATGGAAAAACTTGGGAAGACTTGGTCCCACATCAGAGTACTTCTTTATGGAAGACTCATCAAAGGATCTTTTTCAAACAGAAGTGTTGATTAGACGATCTCAAAGAACAAATCAACAAACGAACAGCAACAAGTTGGCAGAATTAGAAGGTATTTACTCCTTGAGCTCTGATGGAACTACTGAAGCTCCTGAAGAAGATAACAGTTAAACTACTGTATATAGTCAGGTTGTATATAGTCTCTCACTTAAAACTGCTCTAGTTCCAGAGGATTTTCCAGTGGCTAACATCACTCTTTAAAAAGTTTCTAGGGTAGACCAGAAAACTGTAGACCTGCAAGCTAGATATGTGTAGCGAGTAAAGTGATGCTAGTAAGCTTAAGAAGAGAATTAGTGAATACATACCATATAGTGGGGAAGAGTCACCAGGGCATTTGTAAAATAAGGTCACACTTCAAAAATTTAATACAGCTCTTTAAATCAAAAAACATGCAGATGAAAAATCTGGTTGATAGTCTACTGAAAAGGCATTCCTCAAAGCTTCTTAAAGAAGTTAGGCCGCACTAGGATAAGAAGAGAGTCTTTCCATGGATAAATAACTGGTGAAAAGATAGGATATAACAGGTAGGACTTAATGGTCAGTTTTTGCAGTGAACAGATGTCACCCAAAAGAGTTGCACAGGAAATCTTCCTGGAAGCTGTTTTTTTCAAAATTCATAGAGATGCGGAAAAGGGTGGGTAAATAATGAGGATGAGAAAGTCTACAAATACTATTCGGAACAGAGAAGAGGAGGATCCACTGTGAAGATATGCAGGACTTCTCTATTGGCTGGGAGGTGCAATGGGAGATGAAATATAGCATACTTAAGTGAGACAAAAAGGTAAAAATGCTTCTAAATTTCATATGCAGCAGCCTATGAACTGTCTATTATCACCCAGGGTTAACCCCAAGATGCTGAAGTTATAATAGACCAAAAAAAAAGTCAACACAGTTCTCAGCAGGAGACAAACAGGCAAACAGGATATCAAGAACTGTCAGGGGAGGGGGGGGGAAAAAAAAAAAAAAAAAGCAGAGAACAGAGTAGAAAACACCATCATACCGCTCCATAGCTACATGCTGTATCTGAATCTTGAGCATACTCTTCAGTTCTGTTTCCTCATTCCAAATAAAATGTAATCAAACTGGAAAAAAGCATGGAATGTAAATGAATGTCTTCTGTAAAAGGAACGATATAAATAAAATAGAATTCTTCAGCCTGGAGAAGAGCCAGCTGAGAGGAGCTATGCTATGTATCTCTCTCTTCCCTATGGTACTCACAATTACATAAAGAGGAAGCAGTCATTCTCTGACTCTTCTTGTGGAAGACCTTGGTGACATCACATGGAAATAGGCGGCAATGACAGGTCCGACTCAAAAACGAAGCTTTATAACTTTTTGCCATTGGCTACTCTGAATGTTAAACGCTTACACAAGTACATAAGAGAGTGACCAAAGTTCCATAAACAAAGTGCATCCAAACCCATTAAATTCAGTAATGCCTACCCTGGTTCAGGACATCCCAGTGGTAGTATAGGAAGCCTCACTATGTGCTTGCCTTGTTCTTCTACTTTTCTCCTTAGGCATCTCTGCCAGAGACAAGATGCAGGGCGGTGATCCAGTGTTTACAGTTCTGTTTGCACACGCTTGTAAGGTAACAGAAGAGAAGAAGACACAAGACTAGCTAAGGAGAAAGAGGGCGTGAAAGGAAAGAGACAGGACATTTGCCATAGGCAGCATGCAGGAGGGGACAAGTCAGGATCGTGCAAAAAAAAGACACTTGCTTCTAAGACCTTTGTTTTATTAGTTGCAAAAGCTGAAAGGTGCCCAGCGGATGAGAAAAGTGAATGTGGGGAAGAGAATGAAGGATAACATAATTAAAGTAGCAGACTACTATTTGGAAGAAGTTAACTTTACTTCTCCTACCTACAAAATCTATATAGGATGCCGGGAAAGCACGAGTAATCATGTTTGCAGACCATCACTAGCTGTCTATTCCAAATTCTAGGGATCCTGATTTGAAAAAGCTAAAAGTTTACCTCTAACTGAATACTCTAAATCCAAGGATATTTTTCACTTCAATCTCCTGACCTCTTTTCCTCTTATCAAACAAGTGTTTTGTGAACATCAATACCTTTATCTTCAAAAACTCTACAGAAACAAACACTTCTGTTGTCAGAACTAGGTCTCAATGATGCTGAGTATGTGGTATGGAGCCTCAGACTCCCTTTTTTATTTTAGCAATGTGACAACTCCCAATTTTCATGGTTTTTTCCATATAGTACCTAACCTACTTTTAAGAAGGAGCACAAAGAAGGCAGTGAGAGTTTTAAAAACTGAGTAATATACCCAAAAAAGCAAGATCTCACCTGTAATAAATATGAACCAGTTGCATCTGCACTGGAACTCTCATTCTGTATTGTATTCTGTTGGGTAATAGCATCCTCCCTCTTTCGTTCCTTCTGCCCTGCTTCATCATCTTCATATTCATCTAGGCTCTAAAACCAAAAATATTCAGTTACAAAACCGCATTTGTATTTCATTTTGCATGCTTCACATATTTCACAAAATTCATGCATCAGTGAATTAATATTTCCAAAGATTCATTTTATTTTTCAGAAAAGCTTAATTAAATGTTTTTTTCTGATGGTTACTGATATCTTTAGGGACAAGAATAAAGTCTTGACAGCTACCTGCTTTTTCTTAATCACAAAAAAAGAAATAATCAAATCAAGATCCAACTGGACAAAACCCTGAGTAACACGGCCCGAGTGCGGTACTAATCCTGCCCTGAGTAAGAGCTTGGGTTCACTGAAGGCTCCCTTCCTTTTCATGATTCTAAAATTCTACAATCCCATTTGTCACAAGCAGTGTTTTTAGCTCTAAATAACAGAATTCAAGGAAGCATAGAAAGGAAGAAAGAGTTAATTGTACTCTTAACAGCTGACCTTCTTTTTTTTGGATACAGTGGCATCTGCTAAGATGCAAGCATTTGTTTGAATTATCCACCTTAATTTTGCTTCCGTTATTTTTGGTCTTTGTCTTTGAAAATTTACTATTTAAAATTAGTCATTTTTAAATTAGCTGAACAGTCTCCTTAATTACTAATAATTTACACTAATATAGAACTTTCTGGCTTTTCATCACAAACGTTTTTTAGCAGATTTACTGAAATATTTGATTCAAAGGATTACACTTCTAAAGCACTGACAGGTGAGAGATGGAGCAACATAAATAAATAAATAAATAAAATACGGCACCTGCACTAGCTCAAAGCCAGGCTGAGGCCAGTGAGGGCTCAGCTACCCTTAAACTAAGTCAGTTGTGTGTATCTCGTTTTATTAGTTTAATTCGCACTACGGAAAGAAAAACTGCAATCTTGGATTTGGAAGATCAACTTGAAGCAGATGCAAAGATTCCAAGAAAATTGCCCATAACATAGGAAGCTGTTTGCTAGCACTCTGCTTTAAAACAACCCATGTGAGGCCTCGTTACAAAAACACAGGGAACTATCCCCATGTTAGACTAAGACATTAGAAACAGCTGCTAGATGAATGCACAACAGCTTGAGAAGTAGAGAAGGTAAATTATCCTGTTCTACAGGGCTATAACAGAACAAAGATGAATGCCAGAGGATTTCAACGGAAATTTCTAATGCACAAAAAGATCAATGTTCTGGGGCTTAGATATTGACAATCTTTAGCATCACGTCATCCAGAGGACACAAAAATAGTCACAAGCATATAATGAGAGCACTGGAAGACAGTATTTTGAAAAGAGAAAAAACAGTGTTATTTACTGACTGATAATCACAGTAGCATATAAAAAATTAACTAATGGCTGCTCCAGAGCAAATGCTATGGTGACAGAAGTGCTGAAAAACTAGCAAACTGAAAAAAGGTTTATGTTTATGAAAATAAACTTAAATTACCTGAATAAAGGCCACTACATTCTCTACAGCATCACCCATAGCAGAATCCTAATGCATTTTCACTAGTCTATTTTTAATTAACTTTTTAATGCAACCACTGTAAAACTATCTACTTATATCTCTAAGGAACGGCATAACTGAAAGAGTATTATAGCTGAATCACTAAACGTTGAAAAACCCTTTCAGTAAGTGATCATTTCAAATAAAATAACTGTAAAATAAAAATATTTCACTTGGTTCTCTCAGATGCATTATTGAAGGAGGGTTTAGATATGGTAACAGTACCTTCTAGGAGCCAACCTTTACGTCAATATCCTCTATCTTTTATACACTGAAAAGGTTAAAAATTTTGGTAACATACACTGAAGCCTGTATCCTAATTTATCTCATTATGTTAATAAGGCATTCTGAAGTGACAAAATAAAAAATTGCAAATCTGAGCCTCTACTGCAACAAGAAATAGATTGATCTTTGTGTCTTACGGTGCCAGACTTTTTCACAAAGAACTGTGAGGCTCACATGGTATCTCACAAAGATTAAGATTAATGTATCGCAGTGGATGAACGATACCCTATTGGAAAAAGAGAAAAACTTGCGGGTTGTTCTTCCAGCCCCCATGATGTTCACATACGAGAATGAAGATCCCAGGTACACTGAAAGGAACGATAGCGTTTGACATGAGTTTGGAAGAGCAGCCTCTAATACATTTAGGAGAAAACTAACTGGAAAAAGTAGAGAGCAATAATCTTCAGAGACCTCAAATAAACTTTGCATTTTCAAGGATCAACATCTTTAAAGGAAAGTGCCAAGCTCAAAGTTCAACACTGAAGGTACGAAAGATTGTCTTTTTAAGAAATAAGTAGACAAGGTGATTCTTAATTCACTAATTCTCTCCTTCAGATACATACTTCTCATATGTTTTCCAGAGAACATACGCATTTCACAGAAATCATTTTTTCCTGAATATTACTACGTCTGTGAGGAAGAATAGTTTTTCTATCTTTTGATATAAGATTACCTGCTACTTATGTACTTTAGCAGTTTCGGACAGGAATGAAATGTCATTACCTGATATGAGATTTCCAGCTGTAAAACTTTACATTAAGTATTTTCAGGTAAGGGATTCGTTTGGGGATACGCATTCCCATCCTCTCTCTTATTCTCAGGAAGGCCAAAGAGCACAGCGGACTGACAAATCAGTGCCAATAAAAGGTACTAAAACCCCCAAACAACTATTAGTTACAGGCTTTCTTCCTAAGCAAGGAAGAGGGCTAGACAGTTCATGTAAGCCTAATTTGGAGGACATACTCTCTACTTTGAGGATTACGGGGGCTTGCTCTCCTGCCCATTTATACCACTGGAGCAGGCCCTCTCAAACAGCTGGGCCTAAAACAATTGTGAGTTGTGAGACCCACAGAAGAATCAGGGTTTTATTTCTTGCTACAGATGATGTACCAGAGACATGGATAGGTTGATCCTCGCTATTTGCGGCTGCTGAGAAATACTTGGATTGCCAATGCCTTCCTGCCATAAAGCAAGTTACTTAGTACCTGTCAAGACCTTCTGTGGTTTCCCAAATGAAAATGTTCCCTTTGTACACGCGCGTGCACACACGTGCACACACACACTCTAATGGAAACAATCTCCATGAAAGGCTAGCTGAGGATAAGTTAACATTATGAAAACTATGGAATTTTAAGATTTTACAGCTTATTAAAGTTATCATAAGATTTTTGTTTTAATAATCATTAACTTTAATACAGAACTCCACATTTCTTTGACTCATAATGAAATATTGCTTCCAGTATGCAAAACAACACTTTACATTCAATATCCTATTATACAGTTCTCCCAATAACCTCAGTTAGATTAGTAATCTTAATGCTATTTAAACTCTAGGGTTAACTTTTTGAGTAATAAAAATCAGTGAAGAGACAAGCTTCAATTGACAGATTGCAAATATTGTTAAAAAACTTGAAATGTAGAAAGTGTTGTTACATACTTTAAAAAATGTTTTTGTTCCAACTACCCTGCAGCTGAAACTGCCTCAACCCACATGACATTTCAATCAGATGGATTATGGAAGGCTTACGTTCCAGCCTTCTCTCAAATGCATCACTCTGCTTCAGTAACTAGTTTCACGTCATTGAAAAAAATGCAAATATGGTAATTATTTCCTCTGTCAGCAGCATCACAGAAATGGACTTGTAACCACTGAGGTGTAATTCTGACATATTATATAATTCTCCCTGTCCATTCCCTTCCCCCTGCTCTTTTATTTTGCTGCTAGGCACATATCGCTTCAGATCCTTATTTTCCATTAAAATCATCTAAGTTCTTGTACAGCAGATATTCAATGTGACATTCCCACATCTGATCTTAATATAAGGAATCCACAGAAATTCTTTAGGTTTTCTAGCATTTCAGTAAGTGTTTGAAGCTATAGTATAAACATTTTTCTGTAAACCTCTAGTCTGGAAAATACAAGCAGAGTAAGATGCTTTCCAAAGAATCAGAACGATGAAGAAAACAGCCACAAAGATATCCCTACATTCCAACACACCACCAGCCTCCAGTTTAAGGAGACACTGAATAAAGAACATTTTTAATGATTCACTGGGTCACTTCCTATAAATATTTGTGCATTGCTAAGAAAAAAAAGGGGGGAGGGGAAGGGTGTCTTTTCCATAAAAGCGAGCAGTATTTCTAAATACAAAAGATCACTTTCTAAATGCTGTGACAAAGCTACTCGCTCCAAAAGAAAATTCTGCTAGTTCCATCCCCTTCCCTCCATCCGCTTGTTTTTGCCTCGCAGCTCTGCTGGCAGAGCAGACACCTAAGAGGTGCCCAATTCATATCTTGAAAAAATCAGTCACGTTAATTTCAACGTTTTTAATCAGCCTGGCTGATTATGCCTAAAGAAGATGCAAGCACATTTTGCAGAAGTCTAGGGATGTTAGCCTTCACCTTTTGGAGAATGATGAGCACTTACTATAATGGTGAATTTAACACTAGAGTAGGCTGTGCAAGCAGATACGTACTTCCAGCCAAACATCATCAGTTTGCGGTCAGCACCACATTTGAGCAAGAAACAGGAATCTCCATAGCATCAGCACACCATCAGTTATTTTGACGCTTCTTTAGTTTTTTAAACATGCTGACAATTTAGGAGAGGAAATAAACCTCAGTTTCTACTCCCTGCCCCCAAACTGCTTAGAATAATTAAAAAAAAAAACAATTTTTTATCAAGGATATTTCTGTATGCAGCAAATATTTAAAGTATATTATCACAACTTGATAACTTTCAAGATGCTGGTAAAGTGCTGAGGTTTCTACTAGATTTAAAAATTTCCTAAAAAATTCCATAGCAGAAAAACAAAACAAGGTATAATTTTTTTTTTTCTGAAAAAATATGAATAGGCGACTAACTACAATGAAATGCATTTTGGGAATCAACAAGATTTATCCTTCAACCGACCATTCAGAAAAGCTTGGAAAATACAGGAAGACGATTTTACACATCATTTCTTTATGATCAGTTTTCTTAGTGCAGGACTGAAAACCAAATGACTTCTGTCTTTATCATACATGCCTCTGGTTTCTGTTAAATACTTTTTTCCTACATGTTTGGAACGGACTTTGAACAGGGACTTTGACAGTACCAAACCTATCCATCATCACCCTCCCCAAAACTCGCACAACACACGAAACAAGTAAAAATCCCAAATCGATGGTACCTTTCCCCTTCAGCAACAGTATTTTTTATCTCATTTCTATTCTAATGTCCAAAGAGTGCCCAAAGTAACTAAGTGTAACAGGTTTGCAGTAATATAAAGTGCTTTTACTAGAATAACAGTATAAGTGGAAAAATTACATATTTTCACTACACAAGCCTTTCATCTGGTCTAGCTCGCCTAAACGCTTCCCTTTACAAGTTGAAAAATATCCTTACAGAGGTGAAGAGGACTCGAGTTAGTCACAGAACCTAACTAAAACCTAGAAATCATTTTATGGATATGGATTATCTAGGGGAAGATTTTTTTTTTTTTTAAGAGTACACAGCCTTAATTCTCACATTAAGAGAGTCCAAAAAAGGATACAAAACTGAAAAAGCTTATCTGAATGATCACTGTGCACTTTAAAAGTCTACATATCCAAATCGAGCTTTCCAACATCAACAATTAGGATGATCACAATCACAGATATTTAACCCAGAAAAAGAGGAAAGACAGGAATCTTTGGCATCTATGATCAAAAGGGACCCAAACGCAGCAGTGGGTCAGTGAGCAGCAGGTGGGCCAGGACACAGCTGACGGCTGCCGTAGGATGCTCTCGCCCTGCCTGTGCTGCCAGCAAAGCAAACCAAAAAGACAAACATCTCTTACAGGAGGGTGAGATGCAAGTCTTGCTGTTCAGAACTCATATTTGGGATTATAAGTCTACAATTCACTTGAACGCTAGCCTTTTCTCACCCAAGATGGTAATTTAAAAGTGCACACTTTGTATACTTATAGTGCAAATTAAATATAATTTGCATTTTTTCCAACAGGGTACATTTAAAAATGTGCTTAGAAATGTTTTTGGGAAAAAAAAAAAAAAAGGACTAAGATTGATTTGTCTGTCTTTGAGTAAAATAACAAAGCATTTGGAATTCTTTAAAGCTTTAAATAAAACATCAATTACATCAACACCAAAATGTCAATTATCCCTGCATTATAAAAACAAAAAGCAGCTATATTTGCAGTTTGTTATTCAGTAAAATATACTATTTGGTCACCACTGTCTTCAAACATACCACAAGAATGAGTTCTAAAGTCAAATGTTTAACTTCAACTAATCACCAAAAAATCCTTTATTGCAAGGCTTGTCAAGAAAGACTGGTGGAACTGCACAATTATTTACCTACTTAGTACTTGATATTAATATTAAGTCACTGAGTAAAATGCCAGAGATACAAGAGAAACTGGAAAAAATAAGCTATCTAGCATTATTTAAATCTTTCTAGAAAAGAGAAGAACGTAACAGAAAACATGGATTTG